CATGCCAAAACACTGACATCCGACCTGTTCGGCTCCAATTCAGCAGAGAACTTGCTCACGTATCTCCTGCTGAATGGAGTGGAAAAGCTCCATGTGAAAGGGTCCTAATGAGACTGTTGCAGTAGCCAGTAAATGCATCCTTGTATCCTTGTTGGACAGGGGAATGGTGGTTGATGAAGTCATGAAATATAGCCATGCAGTCAGGCCCAACCTGTCAATTGCCAAATCCTCCTTGTGAAGAGAAGGTCTGGCTCTTCCCACACTCTGCGACTTAGCATGAGCCCGACCTTAGTCCTTGCCTTGCCTGTTCAGTTCTTTGTCCTCCACTGCCGTGTCTGCACAAATCTAGGACTCACTATGTTTCTGTAATGGGGTTTCAGTGCTCTAGTAATCACAGCAACTACATACTCCCCTTCTGCCTGTGACACGCTGTAGCTATTGACAGACAAAACTGAATATTTCAACAGTCAAGCAAGCCATGCCTGTAACATCTGACTTTCCTCTGATGTCTATAGCTAGCTTTACAGACCCTCAGAGCAATATATACATTTCTGATCACAGAGTCACTCAGACCAGGAAGATCACAGATTATGGCAATTGAAGGCTATTGCTGTAATTTATATATAATGAAGGGCTTTGGGGTTTCTTCATCCTGATTCACAATGGTTCCTTTCTCTGAATACAGAGGTACTCTTAGTCTTTGGAGCATCACTAATGAGAGATCTCTGATCAAAGAGACACTTGTGCAGTACAAGTGTCATAAGAACCAGTAACCTGGCATCCTGTACTACATTTTATTAAAATGCCCCCACCTGATCACAGTCCACAGGAATCCACATTGGAAAAAAATGTCATAAAACTCCTCTTTACAACTACAAAATAGTACACAAAATAGCCAATGCTTACAGTTGCTGAGTCAAAGACTCAATAAGAATACTGTATGATATAATGTCAGTGTATACAGACACTCTGAGCTCCACCAAAGGCTTCAGTTAATCTTTAAAGTAGTACTTTAGCCCATTAGCTAAATACACAGATTCCATAAATATGTATTTATTGTCTTCCTATTAAACAAATTCTCTTTAAACACTGTTGTGATTAACACACCATTGTCACACTTCACCAAAATTCACCATTGCAGCTTTGTGCTTTCCCATCACACAAGGAGGACCCTAGAATCGAGCGGCACAATTAAATTCCTCATCATCCTATGGTCTTCCTTTTTTCTCTCTTTTATATATGCTGCCTAAACAATTCCCCCTGCAGATTAGAGTCTGAAAACATATTAGACTGGTGGCAGCGCAATACAGCCTGTATACATCACAGTGCATAACATCCAAGAACAGCCTCATTTCTGCGGAGGAATGGGGAAGGATGCATGAAAAGAGATTTCACCTAGTTACATAAATGTAATTCTTTATTTTAAAGAATATGTCAACCCAACATTTCATATTCCTGATATGTGCCTGCTGTGCCATGTACTTGTATGAAAATGTATCCTGTTCTCTTGTATTACTTCCTTTGTGTGAAATCCACGGTGTTCCTGCCAGTCTCTCTGCTTCCCTATTAAAAACTGACTACACTAGGCATGGGAGCACACCATGGTCAGTTCTCTAGCTGTGCTGAAAACTTTGTCTGCTCTCCTCCAATGATCAGGCTTACACAGCCATTTACTGGGAAGATCATTGTTCTGTTGTTTCTCCTCCCTCACCTCCCCCTATGCAGCTTAGAACAGGCGGGAAAGTAAACACCTATAAAAAGGGGAAAGAGGTATTTATAATGTGTGTGTGTATATATATATATATATATATATATATGCACAAATGTTCTGCCTTCCTTTCCTATTTTAAACTGAACAGGTTGTTTTACAAGGTTTACATATACTTTAACTCACAGTGACTTAGCTGTTTTCTATTCTGCCTTGCAGGACAAGGGTCCTCTGTATGAATCCCAATCATGACATTACCTGTATGAAGTTTGCATATTCGCACTGTGATTGCGTGGATTTCCTTCCATATGTTAAACACATGCTGGAAGGTTAATTGGATCCTGCCTAAATTGGACCTAGTATATGAGTGTATGCATGTGAGATGGGGATCTTAGATTAACTCCCTTAAGGCAAGGCAGGGACTGATGTGAATGTACAATATGTAAAGTGCTTTATAAATTGTTGTCATGATATAAATACCTGTAATAATAAAAAATAAATCATTGAATTCATATTCATCTATGTTTAAAGGGGGTTTAAACTTTTCCTAGAGGTCTTGCACAATTGGTGGCTGACTAAATACTTTTTTTCCCCACTGTATATACATGTATATTTACAGGCAAAGCCTAAATATTAACAGCACGTTTTCTCCACTATAATTACCAACTATACTCCTATCTGTGAGTTTTTGGTATCCCCACCCACCTTGTGTGCTCAAGTTCCCATGCTGTATTCTTCATTATGTAAAATAAATGTAAAAAAATCTAGCAGATAGAATTGGACCCCCCGTCATAGTGCTGACAGCATATGTGCACTCCCAGGATTTCATATGACTTATAATTAAAGGGTAGTTGACTCTTGGAGGCACTCCCTATCATCTATTTGTAAATTTTGGTACCCCTACATCAATGACATTTCCTAGATGCAGCTGCCTGTAGAGGAGAGCTCTTTACAACTGAAGCCATCTAATCCATGTTGGGACCTCTGAGCACTTTTATAGCTACAAGGCACACTTTTATTTAATTGTCATTTAAAATCAGAAAGAGGACTCCTAATTTAGTGAAAACTATCTTTGTGTAGCTTAAAGAATAGACATAAACCAAAGAAAAAATAAGTTGACAGATTTTTAATGTATTATTATAGTATCTACCTGACAAACATGTCACTAAATGTAAGAGATTACATCATTCAGGCACATAATTAGTGTCACACAATGTTTACCCCACCCTGCCTAAGACAATCCATTGACTGATAGTGAGAGTAAGCTCAGAGAGCCCCTAATGCTGCTAAGGTGGGGTGAGAACTTGGGGACATGATATAAACATTTGAAGGAGAAGCTGCTACTCAGGATCATTTATGATATAAGTTTTGCAACTTGTGATGCTCAGTGTTGCTGGCTGACAAAAAGTTACCACTGTGTCTTAAACAGAATGGTGATTGCCTAAAGACACCTTGTTACCAAATTTGTAGATAAAAACAAATGCAGATAAACCCACAGAAAAATCAAGTTTTTTAAATGCTTACTTTATATACTTGCTTCTGAATTTACAAATGTAACTGCATTAAAAAGTCTATTTCCTAGCATAGCCCTCTACCTTTTTGCACAATAAAGGAGCAAAGGGGAATACTATAGAGCCCTGGTGCCCAACCTGCAGCCCTTTGGTATATGATATGTGGCCCTTGAACCTCAGCAGTCTGTAGTGGTAATAGCTAATAATAGCATTGATCTTTACTAGCCTCATGTAAAATATTCACAGTTTTGTATTGTCTTCTGTAGTATGTCCCCAGACAAAAATGTAGCATGTCCACACTCTTTGACCCTCATTTCCTCTAACAGTTTAGCAGTTTCTGACAGTCCTCTCAAACATTATATATATTGAACATTATATGTGGCCCTTTGGTGATATCGGGGGCTGCATTAGAGGTCCCTTTTAGCTCATAAGTTGACAACCACTGCTATAGAAGGTCACTAAAGTGATAGCTCTGAGTCTGCTGGGGGCTGGTGACATCACACCAATATGCTGAATTCACATTAAATCTTATGGGAAAATTGTTGTACAAATGTATGATCTGGAGTCTCTTTAAGGCAAACCAGTAAGGAGTAGTCATTTGTAAGCATATAATATATATTCTAAATTTGTAACAAAGTAGTCTTACCTATCAGGGATAGGGGAGTGTGCTGTTTTTTATGTGCTGTGCCTCCCTGTCAGAGCAGAGACATCAGAATTGTATGAGACTGTAAAGCCCAGTACACACATACCAAAAGTTGGCTGGTTGAGCAGGAACTGGCTGACTTTCAGTATGTGTGTACCATTGTCAGTCTAATGGCTGGAAGCACTGATCAGTGTATTCTGGTGGGGGGTCCGCTGTCAGTATACAATAGCTCAGCAGGGGAGACCACAGGGATCTTGATGCAGGGATCTGTCAGTTTTTTTCTGTTAACTGAAAAAGAACTGAACAAATACCCAAAAATATGGCCCTTGTAAAAGTGTGTAACATGTTTAGGTGCATTTAGCTGCATCAAGTTTTTGAGAATTAATTAATTCTTTAGCCAGAATAAATAATTTATTCTGGCCATTGAAATGAATTAATGCTTAAGCATTAAATATTTGTAGCGTTAATGCATGTTTAGACACGTTTACACAAACTTTTTTTTTTCAAGTTTTTTTTTCTGCCAAACTCTGTTGCTTCTGGACACAATGGCAGTGTTTCTTTTTCTGCCTTTAAACACATATTCCTCTAAACTCCTCTAAACTTTTATGTGTATGTGCATGGACACATAGGCTAATATGAAGGGGAGTTTAGTGGCAGTAAAAAAAAAAAACACCGGATGCCCTCAGCAGCAGCTGTAAAAACATCCAGTGTGCATGAGGCCTAAGGCTAGCTTAATGTTTCTCTATATCACAAAGATGCTAGAAGCAATGATTCAGGTTGGCCATATAAGTAGTTGTCCACACCAGACAGATCTAGATTGTTCACCAAATAGTCATAGATTTTTCACACTGTACAGTGAATATAGTATGTGAGCAGGTAAAAAAAAATGTTGTTTGCTTCCTATACATAATCCCATTATTTTTAAAAGGTGCCTATAGGAACAATATTTGGCCCATGATTAGGTCCTGTAGAAAACTTCCAACAGCTATTTCAGGTGGCATTCAGAAAATTAAAACAATTTGTTAAGATCAAATGTCAAACTTATTACTGATAGATCTTTGTTGTATACAGGGATAAATTACACACATTATATTCTGCTCAGTGTTATGATTTTTTTTTATATATTTTAGAAATGTGGTTTCTTACCACCAGGTTGTTCTTCTTCTGGCTCCTCATATTCCTCAGTTTCATCTTCTTCCTCTTCATCATCATCACAACCTACAACGTAGCATAATGATTTCACAAACGACACATAATGTAATATACACAGTGTGTTAATGATATCTAGCAACAGTAATTAGCACCCCAGGGTCTAGGTTACAATTAAACTCCAGGTAAACAGCTAAATACACAGATGAAACACATGCTGTATAATGGAGCTGTTTTACCTGCGAAGAATTTGTATTTCTACCTATCTAGTTCTGAGATTTACAGGAACTGATTTTATCTGCTGTATTGGAGTAATATTTGCAAGTCTTCTCTCCACCCCCACCCTATGACTGGACAGTGCAAAGAGAAGCAGCTGACTGATGAGCTCAACTGTCACTCCTTCCCACAGTTTGACCTGTGCATCACAGGGACTGCAAGAGGATGATACCTAGTCAAATTCAGCTTACTAATATTTAGGAACATAATACTGAATGATGAGCTGCATCCATTTGAATCCTTTATAACTGCTTGAAGTTCAAATCATATCAAAACACTTACCTGTACCAAAATCAAGGCTTCTTAGGCATTCAAGAATATGTTCAGTGTCCAAAGTTAATTGGTCCATGTGCTCAAAACCAGATTCTGTTTTCTCTAACTGACTACCTTTAGAAGCATCCATAATCCTACAAAAAAGAGACGGTGTTGAGTATGCTACTGACATTCCATTCAAATGCAGTGACTTTTGAAGACTGAAATGGGTAGGCAATCAACAATAATGCAACATGGCTTGTCTGACAATTACATCTGGAAATGGAGCTGAAAAAAAGCTTAGCAGTGTTCTTATTTTTTGTGGGCAATCATATATACTGCCACCAATAATGTTCTAGCTCTCCAAGTTTTGGATAAAGTGATGAAGGGTCTGAACCTCTGTCTGTTTTTTTTTGGGAGCGTGCCTCCCATTTAGGATGATTTATCCACAATTCCGGTTCTCGTTCACTTTGGAACAAGAGGTGTGGGACTATCTTCCTCTGGCAATACCTATTCCAGGGACAGCTCCCAAGAATGGGTTTCTCTTTGTTTTACAAAGATGTTTTTTTCACCTTCTGTGGTGTTTACAAGATGGGTATTGAGGGGAAAGATCACTAATGAGGACAAATATAGCAATAAAAACCTGATAACTTTTCTAATCTAAAGCAATTAAAAATTTGGGCCTCATGCACACTTGAGGTTTTGCTATCTCTTCTAGACATCTTTCCTCCTGGCAGTGGTATATTGGCAGAAAAAATGCTTGATGCTTGCAAACATATGTAGCACATCAAGCACTTGGATGTTATGTCATTTTATTGGTCACAATAATAATTTATTCTGGCCATTGAACTGAATTAATGCTTCTAGCACTAAGATGCGTTTAGATGTGTTTATAGGTGTCAAGCATTTTTTTCTGCCAAAACGCCACTGCTCCTGATTGCAATGGCAGTGTTTTTTTTCTGCCTCTAAATGTCCAGTGTGCATGAAGCCTTACTCTAAATCATGCATTAGTATATGCTATAGTATTGCATTAACATGTCTAAAATTCTGCTTACCTTTTAATAAGCTGTTTGGATTTCTGGAAAAAAGAAAAGAAAAACAGTTTTAACAATTTGATTAATCAAATGTGAGAGAATATGATGTATGTGACAGCTTAAAGTACACATAAAACCCAACATTTTCTTTGTTTGACAAAAGTAGAGAATGGTAATATTTCCTGTGAGGTTTCTTTTTCTGACTGGCCTGTTTAGCAGATTTCCCTTCCTGTCTTGTAGATTCAACAGGATGTAAGAGGAGATCTCTCTAAATTGAGGAAAATGCCCCTCAGTTTGGAAAGACTGTAGTCACCGGAACAAGAATATATGCTTTGGAAGGTTCCTCTCACCTCCTCTTCCAGTGAAAACAGTAAAATTTTGGAGGCTTCATGATTTTCTGTCTAAATAATTTGAAAAAAAGTTTTTTCTATCTATCTATCTATCTATCTATCTATCTATCTATCTATCTATCAACTTTAATATTTTCAACACAAGCTTAGATTCAATTTTACTGACCAAAAGACATAGAACAACCATTACACTATGCAATTGCCATGTTTAACTGATTCTAATATTAAGATATATTATATTATTGTATATTATATCATGTGATGGCATGATAATAGAAGCTGAGGGCTCCTTTTATATATACAGTATACAGTACATAGCATGGGGAAGACTCACCAACAGAAAGGTAGCATGGCCAGCCTGTTCAGAAGCCTGAAGTGCACTTTGCAACAAGTTGGAAGAGGACTGAATTTGCTCCTGATATTTAGCTATGAGGGTGCGCACAAAATCAATCTTTTCCTCTTCAGCTTGCGATACCCTTTGTACAAGATCAGCCTTCTTTTCTTCAAGGACTCTGCTCATTTCTTCAAATACTTCATTCACAGAGTCCTTCTTCTTTTGACTGTTCTCCTATATTGTCATGAAAAAAATATTTTATTAAGATCTGAGAACTTAGTTCCAAGCACAACCTAATGGTCATAAGTAGTGTCACATGGTTTGACCATGCAATGTATGTTTCTTTAGACTACTTATAGATATACAGTCTTGGCCAAAAATATTGGCACCCCTGCATTTCTGTCAGATAATGCACCACTTCGCCCAAAATTACAAATGCAATTACAAATGTTTAGGCATTCTCATGTTTATTTCTTTTGTATGTATTGGTATGACACAAGAAAGTGGAGAACCAAAAAGCCAAATCTGACACATTCCACGCAAAACCCCAAAACTGAACTAGAAAAAATATTGGCACCCTCAATTTAATATTTGATAGCACACCCCTTGGAAAACATAACTGAAATCAGTCGCTTCCTCTAACCATCAATGAGTTTCTTACACCTCTCTACTTGAATTTTGGACCACTCTTCTTTCAGCAACTGCTCCAGGTCTCTCAGATTGGAAAGGTTCCTTTTTCCCAAATGCTGTTTTGAGATCTCTCCACAGGTGCTCTATGGGGTTGAGATCTGGACTCATTGCTGACCAGTTCAGTACTCTCCAGCGCTTTATCTGAAACCATTTCTGGGTGCTTTTTGACGTGTGCTTTGGGTCATTGTCCTGCTGTAGGACCCATAACCTCTGACGGAGACCCAACTTTATGACACTGGGCCCTACATTGCTCCCCAGAATTCTTTGGTAGTCTTTGGATTTCATAATGCCATGCACACGCTCAAGGCATCCAGTGCCTGAAGCAGCAATGCAAACCCAAAACATCGGTGAACCTCCACCATGTTTATCTGTAATCTGTAAGGACTATTATTTTCTTTAACCACTTGCCTATCGGGCACTTTTACTCCCTTCCTGCCCAGGCCAATTTTCAGCTTTCAGCACTGTTACATTTTGAATGAAAATTGCACAGTCATGCAACACTGTACCCATATGAAATTTTTATAATTTTTTTCCACGCAAAAAGAAATTTCTTTTGGTGGTATTTAATCACCACTGGGGTTTTTATTTTTTGCACTATAAACAAAAAAAAGAGCAAAAAAAAAAGGTTTTCTTTGTTTCTATTATAAAATTTTGCAAACAGGTTATTTTTCTCCTTCACTGAATTCGTTGATGAGGCTGCACTGATAGGCTGCACTGACGAGGTGGCACTGATGGAACAGCACTGGTAGGCATTAATGAGGAGGCACTGATGATGCTGCACTAATATGCAGCAATGATGGGCACTGATAGGTGGCACTGATGGGCAGCACTGACTGGTGGCACTGAAGGGCAGCACTGACTGGTGGCACTGCTGAGTACTGCTGGGTGGCACTGCTGGGCACTGATGGGTGGCACTGTTAGGAAGCACTGCTAATCAGGGCACTGATAATCAGTGCAGATCTGCTCTGTGACATTTGCCGGTTATCGGCAGTACTTTCCTCATGCTGTGACAGTATTTACTCTGTGATCATCGGTGTCATTGGACACAGCTGATCATGTGTTAAAAGACCGCTGTGATTGGCTTTTTACCTAGTCATGCGATCAGCTGTGTTTGTAGGACACAACGATCACTGACAGCACCAGGTGTGCGCCGCTGGGGGTGTGTTCTGGAAGGACGTCATATGACGCCCTCCCAGAACTGGACAACCATGCTGTAGCTGTCTTTCAGCTATAATGCAGTTGTAAAGTGGTTAAAGGCCTCATTTCTTTTTCTGAAAACAGTAGAATGATGGGCTTTACCAGAAGCTGTAATTCTGTTTCATTTGTCCATAGTACATTCTCCCAAAACTATTTTGGCTTCCTCAGGTAAGTTTTGGCAAACTCCAATCTGGCTTTTTTATGTTTCTGTGTCAGCAACAGGGTCCACCTGGGTCTCCCACCATAGCTCCCCTTTTCATTCAGATGGCAATGTATAGTTGGAGCTGACATGGTTGTACCCTGTGCCTGAAGGTCAGTTTGAATTTGTCTGGAAGTTGATTGAGGGTCTTTGTCATCCATTCAAACAATCTTTTGTTGCAATCTTTGATCATGTTCATGGGGTTTTGCATGGAATGTGTCAGATTTGGTTTTTTGTTGCTCCACTTTTTTGTGTCATATTAATATAAATAAGCATGAGAATGTCTAAACATTTGTAATTGCAACAATTTTCTGGGGGAAGTGGTGCATTATCTGACAGAAATGCAGGGATGGCAATATTTTAGACCATCACTGTAAAACAGGATTCTTAAGAAAAAGGTGTCTAGAAGTTGAACATTACTTCATCTCAAAAAGGTCATACAAAGGCCTTTTACACATGAAGGTCTTCGTTAATAATGGATCTGTAGAGCTGGAAATTTTTTTTCCCCTTTTTCTACTGGATGAACATCTTTTTCATTTCTATTTATCTGTTTTAAAGATAAAAGGTAGAATGCCCCATGTAAGCTCTAGAAATATTCAGTTGAAGGCACTTTCCGGCCCCATGCAGTTGGTTGCTGAGCAGCCTATCACCAAGTATCAGTGCTCTCAGGTGAGAAGACGGGGGGAGCAAGTCCGAAGTACTAGGCAGTGAAAAAAAGCTATGTGAGGCTGTGGAGGGCAGCACTTAAATGAACCTGTTGCTTTTCTCTGAGTGCGCAAAGCACACGTTCACTTTAAGATAATTGAATGACTGCACCAAATACATATGTGCACTATATTTGGAAACATCATTTCACTAGTACATGGCAACATGTTATTTGTATTTTGCAACATATTTAAAATATATTTTTCATTGTTTATAGAATACTTTTTCATATGAATGCAGGTGAGGTGACCCACTATTCTAAAATGCCTATATTTGCCATATATACTGACTTTTTCAAAAGAGGCTAAAAAATATACATCTGTGTGTCCAAATGCAGTGTAACACATACATATACCCTTATACTGTACCTTTACAGATTTACATAACTCTTCCAACTGGCCAAGGATTGACTGAATTCTGTCGTTACCAGCAACCAACATTGATATACAGTTACTAAGCTCTGTCTGTGAGGGGAAATAAAAGCAGCAGGTAACTACATTGCTTTCTATAATGAATTAAAAAAAAAAGGCAAAGCAGGCAGTGTGATAGTCAAAATCAGTGGCGGACTGACCATTTGGAAACTCGGGCACTGCCCGAGGGCCCGGGGTCAGTAGGGGGCCTCATGAGATGCCCCTGGTACCTTTTTTATAGGCTTTTTTGAGTTTGGGCAAGGACACAGGGGCCCCATGATCCCCTATTGCCCGGGGGCCCCATGAGTTGTCAGTCCGCCCCTGGTCAAAATGACACATAGTTCCTGACAGCAGCAACTCTTAATTAACTTTACTGGCATTAGACCAGATACAGATACATTTTTGTTGGTTGCTAAACAAAAACAATTAGAAAAAAAAATTAATTTTAAGAAGCTTTCATCATTATTCTGGATATAGTGAGTCATTAGCCTGGAACAAGCATGCTGCTAGTGTTTCTGGACAGGGATTCAGTAGATACTAAAATAAGCATCAAAATGACTACCAAAGCAATTAAATAATACAAGTTAGCAATATCACCATATTGATTTCCTGTTGGTAGTCCCATTGAGTGACACACAGGTAGGTTCTTTGATTTTATGTGTTTATATATCTTGGATTGCACAATAGAGCAATAACCTAAACATAACTTTGTAGCTTATCTAAATGCATTATCAAATGTCTCCCCATTTAAACTAAAGAATACATTTCTTACGCTTTTAAATGCAAAACTGTATTATTCTTTAATGCAAGGGTATATTTTAGTGATACTTGACCTTTTACAGTATTATAAAAGACACATACTAATGGGCACTGAATGTGGAGATTATACATAAGAAGAGTTCAAAGAGCTGAGCGAAAATAAGATGTTATAAGTTGTTGAAAATGAATGTTGCACAACCTATAATAGCGTTCATATCAAATATCCCACTCCAACCTGTTGTGCCCTCACACCCCCACACAGCTGTGGCCCTATGAGACTTGGCTGCAGCCTCAACACTTTCTAAATATAACAGGTGACCTGGCTAGGCTTTACATATAAATAAAAATCCACTATTGATGTAGATAAGAAGTGCTGCAGCACAAGCAGCAAAGAACCTCAAGAAGCTAGATATAAATGCATTACCTGGCAGGATGACATTAGCAAAAAAAACCAAGAAAACAAAAAAAAGTACCTTATAAAATGAATAATGTTAAATCTTAATCAATTAATGCACGATATAAAAATTTGGAATTGCTGCTTGAAATACATTGCTTGTTATATGCATCAGCCTGTATGTACATTGTAACAACATACTGCAAGAGCTGTACACAGTATACTTGGAGATTTACTAACCCTAGGTCCACACCTAAGCGTTTTCTGCAGTGTTTTGCAGAAACGCAGTACAGTCCATTTAACATGTTGTCCTATAGGACATGTTCACACCTCTGCCTTTTGAGCCGGTGCATTTTTTGGAAAGAGTCAGGGACTTTTTTGAACATATAAAGTTGCATTTTTTGTTTCTATAGACTTCAATGGAAATGCTGCAGAAAAGCATGCATTGCGTTTTTGCCATGTTTTTGATGCGTTTTGCATTTTAAATCTGCCTTGCAACAAGAAAAATAAACCCCCCCCCCCACAAAATGCAAGTGAAAAATCGCAAAACGCAATGCAGAAATGGCTCAAATGCAACCTGCATAGGTGTGAACCTAGGGTAAAGCTGGTTCACTCAGAATTTGGTCACCTGTGCATGGCAGCCAATCAGCTTTTAAGAGCAGCATGTTCAATTAAACTTTAGCAATAAAACCCGATTTCTTTCTTTGCAGAAGAGCACCTGATTTTGCACTCTCTAGTTTTAGTAAATAAAAGTGGAACTTTACTCTGTCAATCAACATTGACATTATGTTTCTAGCATTAGTAAATAGCATGGTATATTATATTTACTTGTTTTCAACTTTTTTTTGACACTTCAGTCACTACCTGGTTTCCATGCCTAGGCTAAATGATGTCATCCATCACAGTAATCTTTAGGAGGGGAGGATGGGTTTTCTCAGCTAAGGCAGATGGATTGCAGATTCCAAAAAGTAAATTCATGTGCCCTTTCTTAAGATGGCTGTGACCAGAAATGCTAGAGGGGTGCTTTTCAAAGTGATTGCTTAAGAAAATAAAGCATAGAGACAAGGATGGATGGGAGAGTTTTCTTTGTATATTACAAATCAATTAAATATTGTGCTGTTCAGATGCAATGCAGTTCCTCTTTAAAGCAGAGCTCCACCCAAAAGGGGAAGTTCAGCTTTAAGGACTGGCACTTTTGGGGGGGGGGGGGAGCGGGTACCCGAATTTGACAGGTAACCACTCCCACTTTCGGTCTAATCGCCTAGGCGATCGGAAGCAGAAGGTGTCCTCCCTGTAGTCTTTTGGGACACGTGACAGGTCCCAGAAGACTACAGGACCATTCATGAAGCCGCAACCTATCACAGCCAGGTGCCCACAGTGAAGATGCCGGCCTCCTGTAATACAGAATGGCCGTTGAAACGGGCTGCAGGGGACACAATGTGGGACCGAGGGACAGGTAAGTGGCTGTTTTTTAAAAGTCAGCAGCTACAGTTTTTGTTTATTTTTTGACAGCATGAGTGGAACTCCGCTTTAAGTCCAATGCAGGGGCGGACTGACAACTCATGGGGCCCCGGGCAATAGGGGATCATGGGGCCCCTGTGTCCTTGCCCAAACTCAAAAAAGCCTATGAAAAAGGTACCAGGGGCATCTCATGGGGCCCCCTACTTACCCCGGGGGCAATAGGGGATCATGGGGCCCCTGTGTCCTTGCCCAAACTCAAAAAAGCCTATGAAAAAGGTACCAGGGGCATCTCATGGGGCCCCCTACTGACCCCGGGCCCTTGGGCAGTGCCCGAGTTTCCAAATGGTCAGTCCAATGTATTATATACTCATGCATTTAATCAATCAGTGCCCCATTTTAGCTGACATCTAGTTAGCCTAGCTCAAAACAACAGACAAGTGTGGACAAGTGTGAGCGCACTATGACAAGATGTCCAGTCCAATAGTATTTCAAAAGTGAAAAAAGTAGCCTTGTATATAAGCCCATTAACACTTATGCATTCTATATCACATGATCAGTAGAAGCATTTATTCAGAAAGGAGTGATTTAAATCCCACAAAGCCTATGTAAAGATTTTTCATTATTCACTGTTTTGGCTTGATTGGGGAATGCTTTTAAAATGCCTTGGCCATATGTTTTACAGTAATCCTTTGGTGTATTTATAGCCCTCAGCCTCTTACCTTCTGAGTTTGGTAAATATTCTGGAGGGGAGACACTTCACAGTCTTTATGAGCACCAAACACTTTACACATGGAACATGTAGGAACTTGGCAGGTGATACAGTAAATGTTTATTCTCTCATCTTCATGCTTTTCGCACATTGGATGGTTCTCCTTTTTCTTCTCAGGTCGACTAGTCACATGTAAGCAAAAAAAAAAAAAAAAAAAGCAGCATGATGATCAGAAGTATATGCATGATGACTAGGGTTGCCACCTCGTACCCTTTAAAACCGAACATATATTAATTACAAAGGTTCTGAGGCTGATTTAATGCAGATAAGGTACAAGGTGAGTTTAATATCTACCTTAATCAACCACAAAACCTGTGTAATTAATATGTGTTCAGTTTTAAAGGGATGAGGTGGCAACCCTAATGATGACCCCCAAAACATTACTAAGGAACAAAATAAGCAACCAATCATTTACAGCAATTTCCTAGTTTATAAGTGCAAGAAAAGTGTGCCCAGCAGAAATTAATGGCACATTGAAAAAATCTGAAAAATCTACATACTTCACAGTTTACACTCACTGGCCTAATACATTTTCTCATTGCTGCTCACCTGTAGTCCTGCTTGTAGATATCTATTATATTTTCCACAAGTAGGTTTCTTTGCAGCCCATAAACTCCATGACGGTCTAAAATAACCTCATGACGGCATGTTGGGCATCGAAATTTTTCCCCCAGACACAGACGTTCGTGTTGGCCAATATGGGTTCCCAGCCTACAGTGACAAAACTGTTAACAACTTGGCGATAACTGGTCTTAAATGTCAGTGCAACAATAAAATGTTACATAATATAACTAAACAACAAAATGAGTATTGGTCCTACAATACAAATTATAGAACTTTTGTAAAACAGAATCTGAAATAAAAAATGGGAAAATGTATGTGAATAAATTCTTAAGAATGTTAAAAATGTTGCATTATAAACAGATTGGCTAATGTTTAAATTTACATGGAAGTAAAGAGCACACTCCTACTAATTTTTAGAGGACAAAGATACAAAAATACTACTGCTTTCATGATTATACAACTTAAAGTACAATTTTTAAGAACGTAGACAAGAAAGCATGGCAAATGTCCCCTTACCTGAAACACATCGTTGGCACATTTCCGACACAGGTTGTGCTGGCATGGTAAGATCACAACAGGTTTCTGGAACATTTCAAGACAAATAGGACAAATTAACTGTTTCTCCAAACTGTCCATGGGATTATTGTCCCGGATAATGTCTGAATTGTAATCCATTCTGCTTTATAGTCCCTTCTAGATAGTTGCTCTTTTCCCAAGTATGTGTAAGTCTTCTTAACTCTGCTCCTATATGCACTTGTCTCTCTCAACTTGTTCTGGATACAGTATTCTTCCCTGAGGTCCTTCTTGTGAGTTGCTCTTGAAAGGCCTTGTCTGATTCTCACACCAAGATTAGCTTGTGTTTTCTCCACTGCTGCTGAGATACATCCTATATATAACTTGTGTGCCGGTCACATGCATATGGTGGGGACGGACATGTCACACATTCCTTTTGTCCTGAAGGGTCAAGTTTCCTGTGGTCCATGAAAGTTTGCAAAGCTGTCACATGGAGCAATGAGTAAGCTGCGGGAGCTCATTCTGTAAACAGAATCGCTTTTGTAAGATGTGGATTTATGTTTTCCAGGCCAGGAATGAAAACAAACAACCACATTTTCCAGAAAGTCCTAGACATAAGACACTTAAACTCATGTGCACCAATGTAATATTTCTGTATGTTCCTACAACCCAGGACAACTTAATGTTGCATTAGATTGCAAATGCCTTTTAGGATCTGCACAGAATTTGTTTTATGACTATAAACACATAGACAGGCATACTTATATTTTACAGATGTCATAAAGCTGGATAGAGGAGACTCAACAATAGAGCACAATTGTTGAAGATTTTGCATGATGGCCCTTTATGATGTATGTTGAAGTCTGTAGTTCTAATCACCCGCATCAAAATCATAGACAATGGTAATTTTTTTGACATATCTAGGTAGATATTCTGGATTGTTAATACGTAAAGTCAATTAGAAGTGCACAGTGACTTGCTTACAACATGTGTTGGCCAGTTTTTAGATACCTATAAGTGCTTGCCTCAGTGTTTGTCAATCTGGGTGCCATCTGAGTTCCCCTGAGGTGCCACGAGCATGAGACCCAGTTTGCCCTGGATTAGAGGTGAGAAGGGACTCTGATCGGGGGTGTGATCGGGGACTCTGACATGTAGGGGAACATCTGACATGGAGGAGAGCTTCTGATGTGAAATTAATTTCATCAAGGTGGTTGTATGCTTCTTCCCAAGCTTAGGTTTCCCATTGATGAGTAATATTTCTGTTTTCTGTTTAAACAAGTTTTTGCACACTTTTTCATACTTTTTAAGGGTACATTGAATGGGAAAAAGTTGAGAATTTCTGGCTTGCATAATATTTATTTTATTATTTATTTCAGGTACTTATATAGCGCCATCAATTTAGGCTGCACTTTACATATACAGTTGCAAGAAAAAGTATGTGAACCCCTTGGGATTACATGGAGTTTAGCATGAATTGGGCATAAAATGTGCTCTGAATGTCATCTAAGTCACAACAATAGAAGAACACAGTCTGCTGAACATAATACTACACAAACATTAGATGTTGCCATGGTTTAATTGCACATAACATGTAAACATTCACAGTGCAGGGAGGAAAAAGTATGTGAAGCCCTAGCTTAATGACTTCTCCCAGAGCTAATTGGAGCCAGGAGTGAGCCAACCTTGACTCCAATCAGTGTGATGATATTGGATGTGTTGCTGACAGCTGTCCTGCCCTTAAAAAACACACACCTGTTTTGGGTTTACTGGTTTCAAGAAGCACTGTCTGATGTGGAACCATGCCTCGCAGAAAAGAGCTATCAGAAGACCTACGATCAAGAATTGTTGACTTGCATGAAGCTGGAAAGGGTTACAAAAGTATCTCCAAAAGCCTTGATGTTCATGTGTCCATGGTAAGACAGACTGTCTACAAATGGAGAAAGTTTAGCACTGTTGCTACTCTCCCTAGGCATGGTCGTCCTGTAAAAATGACTGCAAGAGCACAGCGCAGAATGCTGCATGAGGTAAAGAAGAATCCCAGAGTGTCAGCTAAAGACCTACAGAAATCTCTGGCACATGCTAACATTTTTGTTGACACATCTACAATAAGGAAAACATTAAACAAGAATGGAGTACATGGTAGGACACCACGGAGGAAGCCATTGCTGTCCAAAAAGAATATTGCAGCACGTTTGAAGTTTGCAAAAGAGCACCTGGATGTTCCACAGCACTACTGGCAAAATATACTGTGGATAGATGAAACCAAGATTGAGTTGTTGGGAAGAACACACAACACTATGTGTGGAGAAAAAAAGGCACAGCACACCAACATCAAAACCTCATCCCCACTGTAAAACATGGCGGAGGGAGCATCATGGTTTGGGGCTGCTTTGCTGCCTCAGGGCCTGGATGGATTGTTGTCATTGATGGGAAAATGAATTCCAGAGTGTATCAAGACATTTTGCAGGAAAACGTACGACCATCTGTCCGCCAACTGAAGCTCTGCAGAGGATGGGTGATGCAACAGGACAATGACCCAAAGCATACAAGTAATTCAACAAAACAATGGCTGCAACAGCACAGAATACGCCTTCTGGAGTGGCCCAGTCAGAGTCCTGACCTCAACCCGATTGAAATGCTGTGGCATGACCTAAAGAGAGCGATTCACACCAAACATCCCAAGAATATTGCTACACTGAAACAGTTTTGTGAAGAGGAGTGGTCCAAAATTACTCCAGATCGTTGTGCAGGTCTGATCTGCAACTACAGGAAACGTTTGATTGAGGTTATTGCTGCCGAAGGAGGGTCAACCAGTTATTAAGTCCAAAGGTTCACATACTTTTTCCTCCCTGCACTGTGAATGTTTACATGTTATGTGCAATTAAACCATGGCAACATCTAATGTTTGTGTAGTATTATGTTCAGCAGACTGTGTTCTTCTATTGTTGTGACTTAGATGACGTTCAGAGCACATTTTATGCCCAATTCATGCAAAACTCCACGTAATCCAAAGGGGTTCACATACTTTTTCTTGCAACTGTATATTGTCATTTACATCAGTCCCTAACCCTCAAGGGGCGTACAATCTAAGGTCCCTAACTCAAATTCATACATACACATACTCGGGCCAATTTAGACAGGATTCAATTAACCAACCAGCATGTCTTTGGAGTGTGGGAGGAAACCGGAGTACCCGGAGGAAACCCACGCAGGCATAGGGAGAACATGCAAACTCCAGGCAGGTGGTGCCATGGTTAGGATTCAAACCAGTGACCCTAGTACTGCCAGGCGGAAGCGCTAACCATTTACCCACTGTGCTGCTTTTATGAAGAAGGACTCTACTAAAATGTTTTTACATTTAATTTGTTTCCCCCGGGGACAAAGTAGATGTAGGATTGGTTCCATTTGGATTGCTGTCTCTTAATGTTGGCTATAGCTCCACCCTATTCTGAAGCCCAACTTTTCACTATGTAATGTGTCTTCCAGTATGTGTACAAGCATCTGCTTCTGCCTTTACAGAGTCCTAGCCGATGGATCACATAGTGCTCCAGCACTGTGTGATTTCTCATTTTATGAATGAATGATCAGTGCCATTGTTCATTCATAAAAATGAAAGATCACTCTTTCCTATGGTGCTTTGTGATGTAAAAGCATCGGCAGATAAACACACAGCACCACAGGCTGTGCTGGTCTCCAGAGTAGCCCCTACAGCTAGAGATCAGAGCTGTCACTCACAAATCATCTTCTTTCTAACAGCGTTGTCAGACAATTGATTGGGTGTCTTGTTCAAATATATCCCTCAGTTGTCACTTAGCAACTGAGGGATGGATTTGAACAAACCAAGTGCTATATGCACTGGAGGAATAAATAAAATGCAAAACATCTTAATGAGACTTCTTCTCTAAAGAAGAAGTACAGCCAAGGCACATTTGGAGAGCCGCTGAGAGCCTGAGCCAACCGCTCCCTCCCCCTTCACAATCAGACAGTGGTGACTGACAGTCCCGCTCTCTGCTCACAGCGGCTGTGAGAACTTTGCGATCAGTGGTCATGTGATCACTGAGTTCTCATATTTAGAGCCGGTGGGGGACAGGTGCAGCATTAGACCGATGCTTCATCCACTTAGGTAAGTATAACTGGGGGGAAAAATCATACGTCTCTTTTAAGGCACAGTAAGACTAGGTGCAACAATAAATGATAACATGGTGATTTTAAGGGCGGGCAGTTAACTGAAAAACACAATTCCCTTATTATCAGACTGCAGGATGGTTTACCTGTTACTAAAGATCAACTATCAGCCAAAGTACAGTGAAGGAAATAAATATTTTATCCCCTGCTAATTTTGAATGTTTGTCCACTCACAAAGAAATGATCAGTCTAAAAATCGAATGGTAGGTGTATTGTAACACAGAGACAGAATAGCAACAGAAAATTAAAAACAAATGCATGTCTAACAAACTATGCACTGATTTGTATGTTCATGATGGAAATAAGTATTTGATCCCCTATCATTCAGCAAGATTTCTGGTTACCAGGTTTCTTTCATACAGGTAACAAGCCGAGATTAGAGGCAGTCTGTTAAAGGGAGTGCTACTAATCTCATTTTGTTACCTGTATAAAAGACACCTGTCCACAGGAGCAATCAAACAATCAGATTCCAAACTCTCCACCATGGCAAAGACCAAAGAGCTGTCCAAGGATGTCAGGAACAAGATTGTAGACCTACTCAAGGCTGGACTGGGCTACCAAACTATCGCCAAGCAGCTTGGTGAGAAGGTGACAACAGTTGGTGCAAACATTCGCAAATGGAAGAAACACAAAACTGTCAGTCTCTCTAGGTCTGGTACACCATGCAAGATCTCACCTTGTGGAGTGTCAATGATCATGAGAACGGTGAGGAATCATCCCAGAACTACACATGAGGATCTTGTCAATGATCTCCAGGCAGCTGGGACCACAGTCACCAAGAAAACAATTGGTAACAAACTACGCTGACAAGGATTGAAATCCTGCAGTGCCCACAAAGTCCCTCTGCTCAAGAAAGCACATGTCCAAGCCCGTCTGACGTTTGCCACTGAATATCTGAATGATGCAGAGGAGGACTAGTTGAAAGTGTTGTGGTCAGATGAGACCAAAATCGAGCTCGTTGGCATCAACTCAACTCA